TTATTATTGTTATTATTATTCCTCTATGTCATCTCTCCTCCTGATTGTATACTCTTTAGCTACACCGACAGAACAGTACGAGGCATCAATTATTAACAGATTAAGTTTCCATTCGAGGAATTTAATTTACAACGTTGATCACCTTCCTCATATTTTAACCTGGTGGGATGATTTAACACCTGGTGGGATGATGAACACCTGGTGGGATGATGAACACCTGTAGGATAATGAACACCTGGTGGGATGATGAACACCTATAGGATGATGAACACGCATAGGATGATGAGAAGCACACGATGAATTATTATTATTGAGGTATTCCCTAAAGTGAAGAGGAATATTTAGTATACACAGCTTTTGTTATATAATGAGTCTAAAATATAATACCCCAGTTTAGTGAGGTTATTTATTATACAAATAATGTTAATAAGCTGTGTTGAGTACGGTACTGAATTAAGATTCTCTCTCTTCTCTCCTTCCTTCTCTCCCTCTTTCTCTCCCTTTCTCCCTCCTTTTATGCCATCTTTCCCTCCCTCCCTCCCTCCTATCTTCACACACCACTCAATCTTTAAAGCCAATTCCTCTTTCTTACCTTTTAATCCTCATAAGTCTCACTGTGTGTCTTTGATGTTAGTGATAATGTTATGTAGAAATGGATTCATGAAACATTCAGGTAAATTCTCTTTAATCATACAAAATACAAACAGAAACACAGAAATACATCGAAATAAATACAAACCAAATACACACTACTGATACATAAAGTCAGAACCTTTGAGTAATATATAAAAATAACCTTATTAAAATCCTACACCTTAACCCATAACCTTTCCGGCCAACAGCATCAGGAGTAGCAATATAATCAACCTGCCTTACTGTTTATCATTGTTTGTATACCTGTGTTGTCTAAGTACACTACATACACCTGCTCAACTGTATACCTGCATTTTCTATATTCATGCTGAACAAATTGTAAATATCACCTCTATCATCATCACCACTCGATCACTACACGTAGATAGTAAGGATTTTTATATTTAGGTGTATCTTTAATTAAATTCTCCCTCATAGATACTTAAAGACTTAAAGAGAGAGAGAGAGAGAGAGAGAGAGAGAGAGAGAGAGAGAAAGGATGGCACTTGGTTCACTCACCTGATTGTGTCTCTCACTCTCCCTATTTCCTTCTATCTCTGCCTCCTTGTCTCTCCCCCATTCCTCTTATCTCTGTCTCTCCTTCCCCAGTACATTCAGTTCTCCGTCCCTCTCTGCTCTTATCTCCCCCTCCCTCCGTCCCTCTTGCCTCACTGTGTTGTAATAGCTGTGTAGATCAGATCAGGACGGCGAGAACGTTCCTGGTGCAGTATTGTATATAACGCACTCTCAGGTTATCGAATGTGTCAACAAGATCACTGTTTTTGTAAGTGGTTTTATGTATATGTGTGTGTATTTGACTCTGCTTGAGTGTGTATGCTGCGTAAACTTATGTCTCTCTGTAGAGTTGAGGTGAAGATTGAGAAAATAATTTACTTATGTAGTGAGCTAGTCCACGGTCACCAATAATATACTAACACATCCAGTAATAAATCCCCGGCTTCTCATAACAGAGGACCAGGCAAGACACAGTGGCACATTGATACAACCAGTCATATGTATCAAACATTTTTCAATAGAATACTGGATAAGATGTCCCGACACTCTGACACACTGACAGTGATAACAAAGATTCTCACTGGTTCATTGTTACGTGAAATGAGACAGAAGAATAGACAGACAGACAGACAGCCAGGCAGACAGACAGGTGTTGTTTCACTGTGTGTTGTGATCAGGATCTTCGAGTTCATACTGAATGTCTGCTGAATGGAATTCGTTATTTACCACAAGACCATTTTAATTCTAAACAGATGCACTGATGTGAAGGGGAAGATAATTATATAAGAATTTACCTAGTTTATGAAATAATTGAAGATGCTATGGTAAAAAACATTACTCGTAGATTATAGGGGGTGTAGAGGTGGCTGTAACATTTGGTCATCTGCTGTTCTAAAATCTCGAGATTCGGATAATAAGAATTAAATGTCACTAAGTAGTTGAGGACGAAGGCTTGTGTATAGTTGGGAATTTTTTCATAGAAAAATTTGCTGTGCTAAAGCTCGTCTAATTATGGATTAAAGCAATTAGACCAAAGGTATTGCAAATGTTGCTTACAGTTCATACTTAGCAGTTACTCCTGGAAGTATTGTGTCAGTGATAGTAAGACTATTATTATCTAACTTAAGTCAATGGTCATTTGTTGTCCTGAATGTTGTCAACACAACCTTAGTATATATAGACTGTTGAGTCCTGTACACACAAGTTCCCAGAACAGCCAAAACTTGATACCTAATAGTGTTACCTAAAGCAGTAATGTTCATCCTAACTTATAATGTAACACTTTATACCTAATAGTGTTACCTAAAGTAGTAATGTTCATCCTAACTTATAATGTAACACTTTATACCTAATAGTGTTACCTAAAGTAGTAATATTCATCCTAACTTATAATGTAACACTTTATACCTAATGGTGTTACCTAAAGTAGTGATGTTCATCCTAACTTATAATGTAACACTTTATACCTAATGGTGTTACCTAAAGTAGTGATGTTCATCCTAACTTATAATGTAACACTTTCAGATCAGAGCTTCGACTGCTACTCTTCCTGGAGGTTTGGTTCATTACTGTTATTCTTATGTCGATCTTCAGAAAGTGTTAAAACATTTTCGTTTATTCCTGTTAGCTTCTATCTTGTTTTTCATCCTAAATAATTCCTCCCTTTATTATTTCGTAGAAACATTGATGAAACAACTAAAAACGGACAAATTTCCCTGCCTTTCCTCCCACTGTAAAAAATAAACACTTATTTTTCCTCATTATAAAAATGAAAATTAAATATTTTCCTTGAATTTTCAATATCACACAAAAAATCCCTGGTCAGGTTGTTAAACAGACTTTTATGGGCGTACAACAGTGTGTGTCCGCCCCTTCATCACCTTCACACGTTCTATTCTCATCTGTGGCAGCGGCTTTGTATATAATCTGACTGGATTACGTCAGGGAAAACTTGGCAATCAATTGTCTCTACACAACTTATCATATTAGTCGCCCCCGATGTGTTGATCCTAAAATTAGATTATCATGTTAGGTTTAAGGGGGAGACGTGGCCGCCGCTTCCCAACTTTATAAGTATTTTTGGCGGAGGAAAAGACACTAAGATATTTTGTTGGAATATATGTATCTCAACACACGAAATTACGTTTATATAATTCATTTTCAGGACCTTGGAATTTAACGTATCAACGTGTTTGTGTGAAAGACGAGTCAACACCTGTGGAATGTGTCTTGTTAGTCGCCACTGACACCTGGACCAACGTTGAGAGTGAATTGTATAACTTAAACGTCTAAGAAAATTTAATGTGTGGAAGAAAAAATCATTTCTAGGTGATATAATTTAATAGGAACAACAGTTCACGTATCATATTACATCATTCCCCTGAATAGACAGACATAGTACTATCTAAACACACAGGTGGCTTCACAAACAGACATAGTATTATCTAAACACACAGATGGCTACACAAACAAACAAGGTACTTTCTAAACACACAGATGGCTACACAAACAGATACAGTACTTTCTAAACACACAGATGGCAACACAAACATAAGCTTACACATACACATATTATGGCTGCAGTATAGACAGTTGAAATTGGTTTGTAAATATATATATAGGCAGCCATGTTGATAATTACGAATGCAAACTGTAATTGAATAACAAAATTATTAACGAACTTATTCTAACCTAATTCAAGTATTGTTCACTAATATATTAGTAAATGATGTCTTTAATGAACAGAACAAAATACATAACATCATTAACAACCATGATTGAACAAGTTACATCATCCCATCCTCACAAAAAATAAATATCTTATTATTGCATCATCCTTACTTCAAATCTTTGCATTATAAATTCTTTGGAGCTTTTGGCAAAAATTGTTTCAGTGATGTTGATGTTTGGCCTCGTGGTCAGTGAGGGACCCAACGTCATTAGCTGGTGATACATGATTTACGACATTTGTCCTCCCAGGTAGAACACTGTTGTCATCTGTGTGCTGTAATGGTCCGTTTCGACATTTCGCCTCCTTAGTTTGATGCAGAAAAAAAAAGCAAGGGATATATCATTGTTTTTCCTGTTATGTCGGTGCTTCCTGAACCAGTGTTTTGAAAGAGCTGCTCGCTACCCTCACTAGTGACACGACCACGCATCCTTCATTGGCTTATACAGGATCCTAAGACTAGTACTCTGTGTAAACCCCTGCCACTGAATGTTTTTCTTGTCATATAAACTTAAATTTTAAAACCTCCTTCAAATATCATCACCAAGGTAATGCCAAGGTGAATAAGTTCGTCATTTGATTTGTTAATAAAAGGAAATTAAACCAAAGAACTTACAACGGTATTATGGTGTTTCAGAAAATATTGGTATGTTTTGATTCTTGTTAATACAAAGTGTCTCAAAAAATATCTGTCCACACTGTGTGAAACATTATGAGACCACGGATGATAGGTACCGAGACATGCATTTATTTTGGTATATAGTTTAACATAAGTAATGAATTTATGTATTTCTGTATTTATTTCGTAGTAATTAGTATGATGTTTAGTTACCAAGTGTAGTAGGATCAGTATGCCACACAGCCACGCAAACCAACCCTCCCGGGACATCACGAGTTGCATGTAGCATTTCGGAAGTCATTAGACCCATCCTGGCAGATATTTTTTTGAGATACTGTACAAACAATACATTACCAAGAATCAAAACTTACTAATAAAAACACCACCGATATTTTAAAATATAAGCTGAACACAACCAGCCCAGTACCCTCACATGACCAATTTTTTTTTTTAAACTGTTGTTGACCTTTATAGTGATACAACTGAACATGGTCGTTGGAGATGTTAATACACTTCCACGTGATTAAGGTGGAGTGGAGATTTACCAGACATCTTCTGCACCGAGATGAACCTGGCTGACACGGGCTGCGGGGAGGTCAGGACTATTTCTTGATTAGGATAAGCTGGCCCAGGAAACCAACCAAAGAGGCTATAAGCAGTGAACCCTTCAGGAGGCATCACGGCTGATGTTCCCACTCGTACCTCAATATCCGCCGTCCTGTTAGCCGTAGAGGTTCGTTGTGCGATAAGCAGAACGTGCGTGAAGGTTACTTCTTTTCCCATATCTAATACAAACCATTTGTCTTTGTCTTTTGTAGTGGTTTTGAAACCTTCTTCAGAATTGAAGCCATAAATGCCGTCAACTAGGCTTTCTTTTACCTTCGACGGAGCCCTTATATGTTGTTTACCAGCTGTTATGTTTGCTGTGGCGGCATAGTCTTTGGGTCGTCGGGTGTAGCAGGTGATAGCGTCAGTCTTGTTGGTCTCCACGTAGGTGGGCATGACGATCGTGTTGGAGAAGGTACAGATCATGGTGAAGGGATCAGGGCACCACAGGTTGCACCACCCTAGTCTTGTGCAGATGTTGCAGCAGTACAGGTCTTCGCTGGAACCTGGGGGTGCGGCGTCACTCTCAAACATCCGAGACGAGGATACCTTGGTATGGGCCACCTGGACTTGTCGCCACAGACACAGCTCGTTGCTGACCACAGACAACACTGGCAAGAAGAGCAACACAGCCAGCGTTGTGGCCCACACACACCACACTAACACAGACATCTCTGGTGATATAACCAGATGATACTATGTGTGAAGTCCAACAGCTTGATGGTTTATACCAGCTTCCAGAAAACCTCCGCACATCCAGGCAGGTTAGTGGCGCTGCAGCAAGTGTCCAGACATTCACTGTACAGCCAGACAGTGTGGCGCACATCAAGAGCGGTGGTAGTGAAGCAGCTGTGTCCAGACAGCCACTGCGGCAACCAAACAACAGTTGAGGGCAACTGTTCAGCTAGTTTGGGACACCATTGTATTTGAGCATCACCAGGAAACTTAAAATTTTAAAATATTTTCTTTAAAATTTATGTGAATTTGACTTCACATATACCAGAAATATTAATGAAACATGAAGACTATGAAGATATGATCAATTCATCTAAATGTTACACTTAAAATGCAACAATTCGTCCGTACAGGTACACAATATAAGATGTATGAGGCAGTCCGTCTCTTTCTTGGTGTGCATATCATTTATTTTCACCAACTCTTGTGATTTATTTACCCGTGAATAAAATTTATCGAAACTTCCATACCTCGACCATCATCTCTGAACATAAAAAACGGTGACACAGGTGGATAGACTGTGTGTGTGTCCGGGTAACTTGAGATAAATACTTGATGGCTTATATATATACTCTACAGTCGTCAACCTGAGATAAAAGCATAGTACCTGTAATTATGTAAACGTGTTCAGCTGTTCTAAATATTAAATAACCTCTGTGACGAACAACTTAACAATTTATCAAAACCAAACTTGACTTATGTATGAGTAGGTAAAATTAGGCTAATTAGGTTAGTATTAATGGTATCCGTTCTGTGTATTATGGTCACCTACATACTTGCTCCTATGTACAGTGCATATTAGTTCGAACTTTAAGAAAAAATATTCATAAAATAAATTTATCGCTTTGACGTACGAGTAATTATGTCTGGAAAAAAAAATTATATATATATATATATACTGTATATATATATATATATATATATATATATATATATATATATATATATATATATATATATATATATATATATATATATATATATATATATATATATATATATATATATATATATATTACATATATATATATATATATATATATATATATATATATATATATATATATATATATATATATATATATATATATATATATGTATATATACAGTACATGTATATACAAAATATAAATTTGCCTTATATAGAATCTATACACAACAATGAACTTGTATTGGTCAACCACATTTCTGCCGTGCGTGTCCCACCGCCACTAAGTGCCTCTGTACATATTTCCGCCGGTTAACGCGCTGCCCCACGAAAGGACTCTCAAAAACCCTTTATACATGTTCAAGATGAAAAGGACTATGATTGAAAGGTAGAGTACAGTTCCTTCTGAGGTGTAATAGTGTACAATATCTGCCACAACGTTTGGTAGAATGTAATGCTCCAGCAAATATTCCTGTTTAATATTACAGCCCTGTAAATTTCTCTAGTGTTACATCCTGAATAACAGATGAAGTACATTTAGTCTGTTAATAAAGATAACCTAATAAGGAATATATAATTGTAATGGCGGTTGTTGGTGATGCTAGAAATAACCGTAATGTGTTCGATGCAACATTCGCACACACAAACAGACCCACACACCTACACACACACGCACAAACAGACCCACACACCTACACACACACACACGCACAAACAGACCCACACACCTACACACACGTACACACAAACAGACCCACACGCACACACAAACAGCCTTCGGGCTGCAGAATTTTTTCAATAAACCGTTAATTATTATTATTATTATTACACACCTACACACACACACACACACAAACAGACCCACTCACCTACACACACACACACACACACAAACAGACCCACACACCTACACACACACACACACACACACAAACAGACCCACAACAGACCCACACACACACACACAGACCCAAACACACATACACATTCACACACACACACACATACACACACACAAACAGGCCCACACGCCCACACACAAACAGACCACACTTACATACACACACATACACCCACACAGACTCACACACCTACACACACACACACAAACAGACCCACACACACAAACAGACCCACACACCCACCTACCCCCCCCCCACACACACACATAGAATCATCACTCTATTCACCACATTACCACAAACTTTAGCCACAAATATTAGCCTCGGCCACCACCTCACTACCTAACAAGCAATGTGTATTCCGCTCCAGCAGTTCGTGAAGTAATTTAGAAACACAAACTAAAAGTTACAGTCCAGAGAACACAACTTGTATTACAGAGCCAAAGTTTTAATGAAAATATGAAAAAAAAATAAACGTGAATATTGGAAAAAGTAGAAAAAAGTTGACGTTATTTGGAAGAAATTAACAATAATGCTTGACTGTGGTGTGGAGAGTGGTAGGCGACCAATAAGTAACTGATAAAAAGCGAGAGTATTGATGAGTTTCTTAATCAGGATAGGTAAGATAAGGTAAGGTAAGGTAAGGTTAGGATAGGATATAGGTTAGGATAGGATATAGGTTAGGTTACGTTAGGTTTGGTTTGAAGGGATGACACTATAAGCAAAACACCATGAACTTTGACTTTTTAAACCTCAACTTTCATCTCAAGTAACTACCAGAGTAACCTAAAGGTAATCCTCAACACCCTCGTCTGAAAGCTCGAAGGATTATCAATTTTATTTCGTTATATTAGGTTACCCTTGACTGAGTCCAACCTGATTAATGTTTATAACACAGTTGTATAATAAAACATTCATATTTCACTCTTTTATACACCACATTATGCATGGTATAATTATTATGTGACTGGGTCTAAAAATAAAATCCAAGTAATTTTTGCTATGATATGAACAACACGTAATTCACACGACACTCATGATGGTAATACCTGACGACTATAATTTGCACCTGCAATTGTTGTACCTAATTAGTATATTCATCATCATTGTTTATTTATTTGTTAACGTTTCAAATTCAAAGCTGGAATATTACTATAATCCATGCTATAATCATCACTCACATTAAACAAGTAGAAAGCTAAAATTAAGTATCATTGAATTATAGTATTAAGCAATAAGACCAACTAGAGCTAAGGTGGGGATTAAACACGTGATTAATCTTAGCTTTTACATGAGGCGCGGCTAAGACAAAGTAAATAATCTCTTAGGAAAGTGAAAATCTTGGGAACAAAAATGACTCGTTAGTGAATTTTGTTGAATCAGGAAAACTTGGAGAAGAAAAATAATGAGTGACCCTTCATGACAAGGAGGAAAATGTTAAAAAAAATATTATGCTTCACAACCCGGTAATTATTAAGGGAAATGTGGTGTTTGTTAGGGAAAAGTTAACGTTGGTGTGTTAAGAGTTAGTGGTGTTGATGAGGGGGTGGTTAGTGTTAGTGAAGTGGGTAGTTAGTGTTGGTGAAGTGAGTAGTTAGTGTTGGTGAAGTGGGTAGTTAGTGTTGGTGAAGTGGGTAGTTAGTGTTGGTGAAGTGGGTAGTTAGTGTTGGTGAAGTGGGTAGTTAGTGTTGGTGAAGTGGGTAGTTAGTGTTGGTGAAGTGGGTAGTTAGTGTGTGGTGAAGTGGGTAGTTAGTGTTGGTGAAGTGGGTAGTTAGTGTTGGTGAAGTGGGTAGTTAGTGTTGGTGAAGTGGGTAGTTAGTGATGGTGAAATGGGTAGTTAGTGTTGGTGAAGGGGGTAGTTAGTGTTGGTGAAGTGGGTAGTTAGTGTTGGTGAAGTGGGTAGTTAGTGTTGGTGAAGGGGGTAGTTAGTGTTGGTGAAGTGGGTAGTTGGTGTTGGTGAAGTGGGTAGTTAGTGTTGGTGAAGTGGGTAGTTAGTGTTGGTGAAGTGGGTAGTTAGTGTTGGAGAAGGGGTAGTTAGTGTTGGTGAAGGGGGTAGTTAGTATTGGTGAGGGAGGAGTCAGTGTTGGTGAAAGAAGTGTCGGTACAGTAGTGGCCAACATTTTTCTATTAGTCACCCCACCACCAACTTGTAACCCATACTATAAAAACACTGGAAAATCAGTGAAACCTGGTGTTCCCTGCAGCCTGAAATAACAAGTTTTTGGAAGCTACGACAGAGGATCAATCGGACACCCCCTGGTCGTCATGGTCCTCTTTAATGAAAAGAGCCAATTGCACTTTCTCCCCAAAACAACGCATTCTTTTCATCCCAACTTTTGGTATTTTTGCGTACGAATTTTTCTCCATGTAGAATAACTGAGCCATTCCTTTGAAGTTGTTTACGGTGTAAGATTTAGATGCATATACGTGTTGGGTAGGCGAACGAGTTCTCTGCCCCTGACTCTGTCTCGTTATGAAAGCCCAATATACTATATATAGATTCTGTGAGGTCGTTCATTCACAAGGCTGGGTAGTGCCGTGAATAGCGGGGTATATATTCAACCTCTCCTTCATTCACTGTGTGAGTGTGTACGTGAAGTGAAGGTAAGGTGTTCATGTCCTTATTACTAAAAAAAAAATGCAATAAGTTAAAATTGTAAACAAATCTTCCCTCATATAATTTTAGCACCTTATAAGCTCATTAGTCATCTCACTCAGAAATGGGAAGTTTTTCTTAATTTAAAAGGCAATTTTTATTATCCCGCCTTCTGTTACAGGTACTCTTTTGGAGAGACGCTGAAAGGTAAGATAATCATGAATTTCAAAATTAG